CTGGGGGCGGCACGTGGCCCCTCCACTCGTACCCGCCAGGGGTCCCCTGCGCCCCCACAAGCTCCCAGCGCTGCTGCCGCGCCCCGAGTTCCCTCTCCTGCCTCCCGCCTCTGCATCCTGCCCCCTGGCTAAACGGGCGATACACCTAAGCAGGAAAGAGGCTCTGGCTTGGGCCCCCCCCCCCCCCCCCCCGGAGGACTGCCGGGAAGGATTTCCCTGGGCAGCGTCCACTGGCTCCTTGCGCTTGCTTCAGGGCCAGCGGGCACTGTACTCCGTGTCCCTCCGTGGTCACTTGCTTTGAGCCTTTGGCCCACACTCCTGTCCCTTTTTTCTTTAATCGACCCCTGTAATCACTTGAGGTGCACCTACTGGTCTCTAGGGGATTTGCAGGGGCACATTAGGGGACCTTGCTTGGTAGGCAATGGCAAAAAGCCTGTCCCTGCTCCTGTGGACAGTGTCCACCAGCTCCTTAGACTCGTGCCAGGGCTGGTGGACGCCGCCTAGTGTTCTCTGCTCAGTATCCCCCTTTGGAGCACTTGTTTTCAACCTGGGACCTCGCTCCTGTCCCTGTTTTGCTTTTCATCTGTCCCAGGGAAATGTCAGTGTGCCTGGACTGGGGTCCCTTAGCAAAGGAGACATAATTTGCCTTGGTGGGCCTAGGCCCGTGTTCCCCCAGCCTGCCAAATAGGCCTGCCCCGTAGCTGTGGGCAGTGTCCACCGGCTCCTTGGACTCATCCAAAGGCCAGTGGATGCTGGCTGGCTTGCTCTGCCCTGTGTTCCCCCTTGGAGCACTAGTTATTAACCTCTGACCCTCACTCCTGCAGTACTGTAGCAAGGGGCAGCGGGTGAGTGGGGCCGGGCACTGAAGCGAAGGGGTGCCAACAGGCTCTACCCAGCCAGGACAGACACAGGACAGAGCCGCAAGTGACTTGTTTGGGGGGGACAAGGGAGGGCAGCTCCCATCACTGCATGCGCTCCCAGGCAAGCATTGGGGGGGGGGAATATGCCCCCCCCCGATCTGTGTGCGGGGCAAGGGTGGGCTGCCGCTGTGGGCTTGCCCCAGGCACCAAACTTCTTTGCTATGGTACTGCACTCCTGTCCCCCTTTTGCTTAGCTGTCTCAAGAACTCTGTTGGTGCACATTTAATAGCCCCCCAGGAAGACGGCTCTTACAATTACTTGCCCACAACTCCATGTGCATCAAGTAGGCCTGCCCGTGTGGTGTCCCCCACCCTCCAGCTGGAGCACTCCTTATGAACATATGACCCCGAGGCCCATCCCTGTTTTCACTTTTTTTGTCCTACAAAATCCCTTGTTGTTACACACTTAGTGCCCCTCCTCTAGAAAGAGGGAGGGGCCCGTAGTTTCTGTGTGGGCCTAGCCCTCAGATTGCGTGTATGACAAATAGGCCTGCCCCTGCTGCCCTTGCTGAGGGAACCCACAGCTGGGGCCAGGGGGATGTGGGGTGCCAGTGTAGTGCAGTAGAGTTTCATAGTTTCATAGTTTCTAGGGTCGGAAGGGACCTGGGCAGATCATCTAGTCCGACCCCCTGCCATGGCAGGAAAGAGTACTGGGGGTCAAACGACCCCAGCAAGATGGTCATCTAACCTCCTCTTAAAACCCCCCAGGGTGGGAGCCTGCACCACCTCACTTGGAAGCTGGTTCCAGACCCTAGCCGCTCTGACCGTGAAGTAGCGCCTCCTGATGTCCAACTTAAACCTTCCCTCCGCCAGCTTGTGACCGTTATTCCTGGTCACTCCTGGCGGCGCTCGGGGGAACAGGGACTCCCCCAGTGCCTGTTGATCCCCCCTGACTAGTTTATAGCAGGCCACAAGATCCCCCCTCAGCCTTCTCTTCTGGAGGCTGAACAGGTTCAGGTCCCGTAACCTTTCCTCATAGGACCTGCCCTGCTGTCCCTTGATCATGCAAGTGGCCCTCCTCTGGACCCTCTCGATGCTGTCCACATCCCTCTTAAAGCGCGGCTCCCAGAACTGGACGCAGTACTCCAGCTGCGGCCTGACCAGTGCCGCATAGAGGGGGAGGATCACCTCCTTGGTCCTGCTTGAAATGCATCTGTGGATGCACGACAAGGTACAGTTGACCTTCCTAGCCGCCTCCCCACACTGCCGAGCGATGTTCATCTTGGAGTCAATAATGACTCCAAGATCCTTTTCCATCTCCGTGCTGACAAGAGGGGAGTTCCCCAGCCTGTAGATATGGGGAGTTGCCCACAGTAAGACATGTTGGGGTCCCAAATGGCACAGTGTGGCAAGGGGAGCAAGTGGCACATAGTTATGGGGCCTGTGACCTCCAGCCACTCCAACAGCCCTGACCTAGCCAATGGCCCTTTGCAATAAAAGCCCAGAGTCTCCTTTAATCCCAAGACTCCAGGAACTGGGGCTTCAAGAAAAGCAGTCATCACTAGGCATTTTGGCACCCTGGGTGCCAAGTGCTGGAAAGCAGCAGGGTGAGGGAGTGTGGTGATAGAAGTACCCAGTGCTTACTTCCTCCCACAGAGGCCCCCACAGCTTTTGCTGCAGCATAGCTCCCAGACAACACTGCAGGCAGCAGCACAGGCTCTCCAAGGGGCTGCCATTGTGATGCCTCTTTAAATCAGCACCCAGGGCTGGTGCCCGACTTTCCTGCTCGCATGTCTGCATTCTATGCAGACCCCTCAAGGTGATTTCTGCCTCCTCAAAACTGATCTCTCTATTTCTGATATAATTAGAATTTGATCGTTATAACTAATTGGTCCTTACAGAAGGTCTCTTGTGATTTGGGTTCAGGGGTGATGATGCTAATGTTTAGATCATCTGAAGTGCTATTCCTGACTTAATTTGTGAGAGTTTCACAAAGAAGGGAAGAACCATTCCCATCTTACCTCTCAGCAAATTGAGGCACAAACCAGATGTGCTCGAGGCTACACTGTTAGTCAGCGTCCTCACTTGGAATAAAACCCAGGTCTCTTGATTCCAAGTGCAGTGTACTAGTTATAAGACCTACAGACCTCTAAAAGTGATCAATATTAATTTGTCGTCCCTAAAGTTAATGTTATTAATATCAAAAGGCAAGATCTGCTCAGTACTTATTACAATGCTTATTGTGCACTGTACTACTCCATAAATGTTAGGGGCAACTGCTCAATTTGTTAGTCCCCTGCCCAGGATCAAAACATTCAGTACTTTTCCAAACTATTAGTAACTTGATTTGTTCTTTCTTCAGTGTTGCAGGTCAGGTCTTAAAAGCAATAGTCCTGTCTGTTTTGTGAGCACAGTAAATATCCTGGGTCACTGTTTGCAAAAGCAAGGGATTTTCCCAATGACCTTTGTCAATATTTTCCCTAGCTGGGTGCCACCCTACATCCTAGAGATGGCTTTATTTCAACAGTGCTTGCTTACTGTATGTTACAACAGACCATCTCCAGGAAACATGGAGGTTGCATTACAGGCCAAGGATCGTTTGTTTCCACCTCCATAAAAGCTGCGAAGGCTCTATCAACTTTACCTGAATTGGAAAGAGTTTGGATCCTTCTTTACTGAGTCCCCCAGATTTCTTCTTTTCAACAACTGATCAGAAATAATAATTTTCTGAGATTTTTACATTTTAGGGCTCAGATTCTTCCTACTAAGTCTCTGCTGGAAAGTTATTTGCTCTTAGTTTGTGGAGGGTCTGCTTTTTTCTATAAATAAAAAATGTGTAAAGGAAAAATCTCCCATTATAAAAGAAAAATCTCATGAACTTTCTTTGATTAGGTCTGCTGCTGGAACACCTGATGCAAAAAGTTAACATGTGTCATAGACATAATCCCTACCCCCCTCAAACCTACCCCTTCCTCCCACAAAGTGCTTTTGCTTAGTTCAGAGGCATTTTTTGCCTTTGCAAGTCACATACTGAATGCACGCAGTGAATTTTTTTTTACTAAACTTGTAAAGTTTGCAGCTAAGGGAGAATCCCACCACATGTTTGCTTGGCTAACTTATTTGTATAGTGAAATATACAACTGCAAATGGTTAGAAATTCCTAGAGCTGGAGGAAAAATAGATAAAATCTAGGAGTAGGCTCTTCTTTGTTTTGTAAGATAAGATATAACCTCATCTGAGGGCTCTCCATCTTGTACAATCAGCTGCAAGTTTCTTAAGGACCTTATAAAATATAAAAGGGTTGCCATTAATGTATTTTCAAGGCCATCATCATAGCATGTAGCCCTACTTTGAGAAATGTCAGTACCCAGTCCACAATGACTTCAAGCTAACACAGCTAAGGACCTCACTCTTCCCAGTCTATGCTGCCATAGAAGGGATCATGACTTGTTCATGTTCTCTAAAGTATCAGAAAGTGTACAATGTGGTATTACAGAAATAAAAATAATAGTAAAAGGTCTGAATAGAGTATTTCTATATTGCCTGTAAAGTGCCACAGAATATTTTTTTAAAGATAGACTTGGGTAAGGAACCAGCCTTATTATTAGAATGGTATTTCTAGCTGTTCTAATAGATTTTGAATCCTTAATCCAGCAGAGAGATTTTGTTCTGATCTCTATGTTAAGCAAATTCTCAGAAAGTATTAAAGCTCTTACTAAGAAGAGTAATTTTTTTCTGAGATAACCTTCATCCATGTTTTGCATGAAGTTTTTCCTTCTCTAAATCTTAAAGCCATTGCTCTGATTACTCCAGATAAAATTTACCCCATGTAGGGGATGTGGAAAAGACCTATGCACCATTTAAATTCTATTTTTTCAGCTTGAGTCTTCTCTCTCAGAAATCAGTGAAGGCATTGCCATTTATTTCACTTGGAGCAGAATCAGGCCCAGAAGACTTAAATAGAGCACACAAGTAATTTAGGCTCTAGGGAGGAATTTCATTCTATC